CTTATTTATTTATTTATTTATTTATTTAACCAAATTACAGGTGTACTTAAATACTGATATGTGCTAGTAAACCTTTATCTTTCATCTTTGCAATGTTTTGCTTATCTTGTTGCACAAACCACTAAGTGTTTGTAACTAACATGCTAAAAAGTACTATACAAATAAATTATTACTATTATTAATATGAGATTTTTATGGCTGATGTTTACTGGTATTGTGTCATGTTATTGATGAGTTATTACTGAATTGTAGCTGCATTATTACAGTCATGACATCACTGTGCAGTCATATTCATTTCTGAAACGTCTTATTATCCAACTCGACCTAAGCAGCCAGATTCTTTATGTAAGCTCACCAAGTCCTGATCTACACCATCTCACCATCGACAGTCCACTCAGAAAGATCTGGACAAAAACCTGCTCGGACATCAATGAACCAGCAAAACAAACAGATCAGCCCGAAACAGCCTGTATCCTTTAACCAGAGCGATTAGAGAGCAGCGCTAAACAGTAACTGCTCCTGCCCATCAGCAGCTCCCTGAACCAGCTCAACTGACCGGCACACAAAACCACTCAACTCAGCAGTGAGAGTGCAGAGGACTCTGCAGTGCCCTGAGCCCTGAGCCCTGAGTCCAGATTCACCACACACTATTACTAATGTAGGATTATTCAGATATCTACATCATCTAAATCTGACCAAGAGAGAACACAGTGTTAATGAAGAGAAGAGAAGAGAAGAGAAGAGAAGTGAAGAGAAGAGAAGAGAAGAGAAGAGAAGAGAAAGAGGGAAAAGAAAAAATGGAGAACAGAGAAAAAGAGAAGAGAGAAAAGAAAAAGAAAAGAGAGAAGAGAAGAGAAGAGAAGAGAAGAGAAAAGAGAAGAGAGAAAAGAAAAAGAGAAGAGAAGAGAAGAGAAAAGAGAAGAGAGAAAAGAAAAAGAGAAGAGAGAAAAGGAAAAGAAAAGAGAGGAAAAAGAGAAGTGAAGAAAAGAGAGAAATAGAAATGAAAATAAAAAGAGAAGAGAAGAGAAGAGAAGAGAAAGAGAAAAAAGAGACAAAATAAAAAGAGAAGAGAAGAGGAGAGAAGAGAAGAGAAGAGAGAAGAGGAGAGAAGAGAAACAGAAGAGAAGAAAAGAGAAAAGAAAAAGAGAAAAGAAGAAGAGAAGAGAAGAGAAGAGAAGAGAAGAGAAGAGAAGAGAAGAGAAGAGAAGAGAGAAAAGGAAAAGAAAAGAGAGGAAAAAGAGAAGTGAAGAAAAGAGAGAAATAAAAATGAAAATAAAAAGAGAAGAGAGAAAAGAAAAAGAAAAAAGAGGAGAGAAGAGAAGAGAAGAGAAGAGAAGAGGAAATACAGGACAGAGAGAGGAAGGGAGACAGAGCGAGACACAGAGAGAGAGAGTTGTTGTTGTTGTTGTTGTTAGTGTTGTTGTCGTTGTCGTTGTTGTTGTTGTTGTTTTGCATGCACTGCTTTAACTGAACTGTGAGAGAAGATCTCAGTCCCGGGTGTCCTGTGTCCTAACTGGCCACAGCTCCCCCCCCACCTCTCTCTCTCTGGAGAGCGTTTCTCCACTAACCCCTGACCATTCGTCCCTCTCTCTGTTCCCACACTGGCCGAAGGTGAATCGGGGGCTTTTCCTCTGCGTAATCTCCACACAGAGCTTTCGGCCGCGGTCCGAGGAATGCGTGACGGGCCGGTGCGCCGTTAGACCGGCCGCTCTTCCGCTCAGCGCTCGACTAAAAGTTGGAGCCGAGCTCCGGCCGAGCCTCTTAGTATGCAGAGCACTCGGCCAGCGATCACAGCATTAGCATATGAAAGACGCTGCATCACTGCTCGCACACAACAGCCACTTTGTCACCTTTCGCCAAGAGCGGAGTGACTCCTCACAGCCCTCTCAGCTCCGAATACAGCGGCACCCTCTCCCAAACCCCCCAAACCCCCCAAACCATAATCATAACCCAACACGGCACCACTCGGCCCAGCAGCCGCTTCATCTCACAGCTCACTGCTGACTGAGGCTCAAAACACGCCACCTACATCTGAGACAAGAGCTCATTTATCACAACTTCAGTTTCCAGTTTCTCATAGTTTCTAATAGAATTACTGTAGCTCTTCTAATAGAAAGCAGCACAAGAACCAGCTGAGCACAACAGGGTTCTTCAAGAACATTCCCAAAACTTAAGAGCTCGACTTTTTCAGCTCTGTTAGGAACCCTTAACTGGAGAAAACCAAACAGCTACACATTTGGAAACAAGCTGGAACCTCTTAAACACTCTTAAAAAAGATGCTTCTTCAAGGGTTCTTAAGTAAAGATAACGGTCCTACATAGAACCATGAACATTCAAAGAACCATTTTCATGCTTATGCACGGTGAAATGGTTATCAGATTGATGGAGAGTGTGCTGTATATTGTTCTACATAGAACCTTTTTGAAAATGGTTCCATATAGTACTAAAAAGGGTTACAAGTTTTACAACAGAACCCTTTTTGGTGCTATATAGAACCACATACAACACATTTTCCATCAATCTGAAGGAACATTTCACCAAGCAAAGAAACATTTAAGCACAAAAGTGGTTCTTTGAGTGTTCATGCTTTTCTAGAGCCATTGCCTTTACTGAAGAACCCTTGGAGAACCATGGACGAACCAAAAAGGAAGACATTCAGATCCAGTTTTTCAGACCCAGATTAAGATTCTTGATGCTGATTCACCATCAGCGCTGCAGTTTAGTCCAAGACTAGGCTTAAACCATGACTGAGAATCCGGCCCTCAGACCTTCAGCACATGTTAAGTGCCACAAGAAGGCATGAAATAATATTTGACCACAACAAATGTATTTGTTTCTTAATAAATGGTGCATTAAAGACAGTTTTTATTGGAGAATTAGTGTCACTTGCGCCTCCAAAAATGGTAAATTTGCATAAGAAGGAAACAACACTGTTAAAGTATAACAGAAGTCATTTTTGGACTGTTTCTGTTTCTGTTGGTCCATTTGCATTATGACATGTTCACACAACGTGTTTGAAAATTAATAAAAACAAATAAAACCCCACAAAAGTGGAGATATAAGGTTGTACGAAACTAGAAAACTTGCGTCAGTGCACGTAAGATCGCAAACCGTGGACGAAGCAATGAGGCTGAGACATACGGACACCATACGAAAGATCACACACGAATATTTTTCATCACAAACCTCTCCAAAATGGTGACTTTACAGGAGAAGTAAAGAACCTTCTTAGCTTTGAATGGAAGTCAATGGAACCAGAATTTTTAATTGGAGACACAAGGTTTCCCCCGAAAGCGACGATTCGTACGAAGCTGGTAAACTTTCGCCAGCGCTCGTAAAATTGTAAACAGTAGACGAAGCAATAACGCTGAGACATACGGACATCGTACAAAAGATCACATGCGAATTTATATCGTCACAAACCTCGTCTTTCCAGAATGGTAGCAGGTTTTCATTGGGGAAATAGAGCGCTTGCATCACTTGTGTCTCCAAAAACGGTACATTAGCATAAGAAGGAAACGACACTGTTAAAGTATAATAGAAGTCAATGTAAAAAAAGTTTTTGTTTAAACATTTTTGGACTGTTTCTGTTTCTGTTGCTCCATTCACATTATAAAACATTCACACAAAGTGTTTGAAAATTAATAAAAACAAATAAAACCCCTAGAAAGTGGAGACAAGGTTTTGTCCCGAAAGCGATAATTTGTACGAAGCTGGTAAACTCTCGTCAGCGCTCGTAAAATCGCAAACAGTGGACGAAGCAATAACGCAGAGACATATGAACATTGTGCGAAAGATCACATATGAATATATATCGTCAAACCTCGTCTTTCCAGAATGGTAGCAGTTTTTAACTGGGGAATTAGTGTCACTTGCGTCACTTGTGTCTCCAAAAACGGTACATTTGCATAAGAAAGAAACAACACTGTTAATGTATAACAGAAGTCGACGTAAAAAAGGATTTTGTCCAAGAATTTTTGGACTGTTTCTGTTCCTCTTGGTCCACATGCATTATGACGTTCACACAAAGTGTTTGAAAATGAATAAAAAAAAATATATAAATATAAACTTTTGACCCTGAAGCGACAATTTGCATCAAATAGTAAACTTTCATGGGCGAGGCAATATTGCTGAGACATACAGACATCATACAAAAGATCACATGCGAATTTATTTCGTCACAAACCTCGTCTTTCCAGAATGGTAACAGTTTTTCACTGGGGAAATAGAGCGCTTGCGTCACTTGTGTCTCCAAAAACGGTACATTTGCATACGGTGCAACGGTGGACGAAGCAAAAATGCTGAGACATACTAACATCATACAAAAGATCAGACACACATATATATCGTCACAAACCTCTCCAAAATGGTAACTTTACAGGAGAAGGAAAAACCCCTCTTAGCTTTGAATGGAAGTCAATGGAACAAGAATTTTTCCAAGCACTTTTGGGCTGTTTCTGTTTCTGGGGGTCCATTTGCATTATGACATGTTCACACAAGGTAAAGCTGTTGTTTGAAAATTATGTAAAACAAATAAAACCCCACAAGGAAAAACCTTCTCAGCTTTGAATGGAAGTCAATGGAACCAGAATACTTTCTAAGCACTTTTGGACCGTTTCTATTCCACCACTCAAAAAAATGGAGCTACAAGTTTTGGTTCGGACAGCGACCGTATATCATCACCTAGTCTGAGAAACTTCATTTATCTGAGAAATAGAAACAGCTTTACTGGCTCATAACCAACTAAACCTAACTGGTTCTTAGTATCTAGAGCTCTCGCGCCCTCGGAGTTCTGGACCTGTTGGCTGCGCTCGTTTTGCGTTTGTATGCAAAACGAAAAAAAAGTTACGAATAACCGAACCTCGGAAACTTTCGAGCATTGTGACGTCACGGGCGATGCCAATCCCCGGAGACAGAACCGAGCGGTACCGGGACCGGCTCAGCGCGGACACTTCCTGACCGAGCGAGTGTCTGCGCGGACGGTGTGATGGTGAAGTTACCTTGGCTCAGCCTGACCAGCGCGGGCAGCCGGAACTTGGCCACCACGGCGTCCAGGGGCAGCGCCACCGAGCTCCAGGAGAGATCCGCCAGCAGCTCCATCCTCCAGCCCTCATCACGGGCAGAGAGAGCGGGAGGCGAGGGAGGAGAAACGGAGAGACACGGAGGAGGAAGAGCCGGACAGCGCCATGCTGAAGACAGACGGGGAGAACACTAGGAGAGAGAGAGAGAGAGAGAGAGAGAGAGAGAGGGAGAGGGAGAGAGAGAGAGGGAGGGAGGGAGGGGGGTGAGAGAGGGAGGGGAAGATGGAGAGGGAGGGGAGAGTGTGAAAGAAACCGGGAGGGAGAGATCCCACCCGTATTCAGACACGACCGAGAGAGGATAAGGAAAGAGAGAGAGACAGAAAGAGAGAGAGAGAGGGAGGAGGAGGAAAAGAGAGGGAGGGGGAAGAAGAGGGAGAGGGAGGGGAGAGAGAGAAACCGGGAGGGACGACCGAGAGAGTGTAAGGTAAGGGACGGAGAGAGAGAGAGAGAGAGAGAGAGAGAGGATGAAGAGAAAGGAGAAACAGAGGAGTGTAAAAAAAAGATAAAGAAAAAGAGACTTCTCTTCCCACCTGTATTCCGTCATGAACGAGAGAGAGGGAGAAAAATAAGGGCGCGAAAGAGCCAGAGAGAGAGAACGAAATAAAAAAAAAAGAAAGAAAACAGAAAAAGAGAAATTAACAGAAAAAGAAGGTAAAGAAAAAGAAGAGAGAGAACCGATCGAAACGTTTTTGGGTTTTTTTTAATCCCACCCGTATTCAGACAGGCGAGAAAACAGTTGGGGGCGTAAAGAGAGTTTGCCAGTGCGTTGTCCGCCCACCCCCCCCACCACCCCCCCAACACTTGAGAGCGAGAGAGAGAGACGCCACCTTTCCTACAAGCCCTGCCTCCCGCGCCGGGATTGGTCAGCACTCACGCGGTCAGTCTGCTGGAAGCAAACACGTCTGGAATGACACTGTATAAGCACTTAATCAGGGCTGGGATGTAACAGAATACAAGTACCGAGAATACATACTCAGAACACGGAAATACAGTATCTGTATTCAGTCCAAGTTACATTTTGTGAAGCCAGAATTCAGAATATGGTTAATATACTCAATAAAACAAACAAACAATGTTCAAAAGAAACACTTCGTTTATTAACTACTTATTAAATACTCAGCTCATGTAGCAGACATGCTCGTTAGATGAACTCTAAAGAGGACCTTAATTAACAGCTTCTTTACAAACACAGATGTTCACAGACGTGCTAAAGCCTGAGTAGACTGATAAATCAGTGTGATCAGTTATTATCGGTGTTTTTATTTATTACAATTTTTAATCGTTTTAATTTTGATTCTCCTACATTCATTTCAAAGTTTTATCTTCATATTTTCTCATTTGTGAAGCACTTTGAATGACCACAGTGTATGAAAGATGCTTTATAAATAAACCCGCCTTGCTTTGTCTATAAAACTAAAATAAAGCAAATGTGCAGTAGTTGTGAAACAGCGCAGTGTGTCATACCATTTTGTGTTTAGCGTGTTAACTTGTGGAAAACACGTTAGACTGAGGACGTTTTTCGGAGTTGTTATGGAATCAGCCTAAACGAATCAGCCTAAACTCCACTGAGGTTTCTAAAGTCTCAGATATTGTGCTTTATCATTTTGAATCCTCTAATAAACTGAAAATGGAAACATGCTAACATAACTCAGGGTTTATTTTCACCCATTGATTTTTCAACGGTTCGTTGTATTTCAGTCGCTGTGACGTAAACAGAGTCATTCAGAGTGGTTTGGTGTGAAATGGTTGATTGTAGAGACTCAGATTTCTTCACAGTGGTGGTGATAGGAACCAGGGGTCACCATGACTACAACACAGATATAGACATTTTATTTACTATCCAGAACCACCAGTGAACCTACACGAGTCTTCTGAGTGTTTATGTGGAATGTTGGTGAGGGTAAAATCGTGGTTAATTTGAAAAATATGTTTTATTTTGCCTTAAACCCACCCTGCATGTATAAACCCAGTTCCCAAAATTTGGGACAGCACAAAAAATGCAAATACAAACAGACAGCATGCTTTTGACCTGTATTCAATTAAAAATTTATTGTTTCAACTAATTGTTTTGTTCGTATACATACACATATTTTACATTTGTTTACCAATGCATTACATCGCCTCCCTTTAAACAGTGTTAAGTAATCATTTAGAAACTAAGGACACCAATTGTTGAAGCTGCTAAAGTGGATTTTTTTCCCCACTTTTGCTCAGTAAAACACCTTACCTGCTCAGGTCTGGACCGCCGGCAGGCCAGGTTTATCTTGCTGAAACATGCAGGGACATCCCTGAAAAAGACGTCATCTAGATGGCAGCTAATATACATATACATATATATATATATATATGTATATATATATATATATATATATATGTATGTGTATGTATATATATATATATATATATATGTGTGTGTGTGTGTGTAGTAACAATTGCGTCTGGCTTTTCCTCTTTGGCCTGGAGAACACAACGTCCATTATTTCCATAAACTTTTTGAAAGGTGGACTCATCAGACCACAGCACACATTCCACTTTGGGTCAGACCATCTCAGATGAGCTTCAGCCCGGTTTCTGGATGTTGTTGATATACGGCTTCTGCTCTGTATAGTACAGTCTTAACTTGTGATTGTAGATGAAACCAGAGCCAGTTTAAGATGAGTCTGGCCACTTCCTGTTTCTCCCATTATATCAAAAACATGACTGCAATAAACGAGAGCGAGTCCTCAATGAATGAGGGTGAATGGAACTAAACGGCTAAAAACGAGAAGTTAAAACAGTTTCTAATCAAGTGTCCAGAGCTTTCGTTTCATTTAGAAAGCAGAAGGATGTATTTCACTAAAAAGAAAACTTGTGTGTTTGTTTCCTTTTTTCTACAGCAGACATGTTTTGGGCAGCAGGACGCTAACATTGCTGCTACTGAGCACTGATTGGTTAGCATTACCGCTACTGAGTGCTGATTGGTTGGCATTACTGCTACTGATTGTTGATTGGTCGTCATTACTGCCCCTGAATGCTGATTGGTTAACATTACTACTACTGAATGTGGATTGGTCAGCATTACTATTACTGGGTGCTGATTAGTTGGCATTACTGCTATTGAGTGCTGATTGGTCAGCATTACTGTTACTGAGGGCTGCTCAGAGCTCCAGTCTGATCGCCTTTGCACACTGCAGTCTCCTCTCTACCCACAATGCACCACAAGGTGCTCGATTTAGCATCAGTCATGTTGCTAAGAATAGCACCTTGGCCATTAGACCATCTCTGGTCAAACCTAATGACACACAGCTGGCCAAGAAACAAAAAAAGCATCCAACTGTCCAAATACTTACGCCCCCGAAATGGGGGTCCATAAAAACACTGATTCTCCCAATATAGATATAAATGACCTTAAAGCATTCTGCACTTCAACCTCATAATTATGGTTTAAAATGGTCTCAGATTCCTGTACAAGTTCCTCAGTATAGACAAGGGTTCTTTAGCAAAGACAGTGGTTCTATATAGAACCATGAACACTCAGAGAACCACTAGCATGCTTGAAAGGTTCTTTGCATGGTGAGATGGTTCTTCAGACTGATGGAGAATGCGTTTCAAAAAGGGTTCTTCTGTTGTTCACAAGCTTGCTATCGTAATATATAGAACCATATGCAACATATTCTCCATCAATCTAAAGAACCATTTCACCATGTTAAGAACCATTTAAGCAAATGGTTCTTTGAGTGTTCACGGTTCTACATAGAACCACTGTCTTTACTGACAAATACTATGGACTGTGCTGTATGGTAGACATGATATAAGATGAATATCACCAGCCACTGTATTCAATGTCATTCATCTTCTAAGCTGCTTATCCTCCTGGGTCGCAGGGGGTGCTGGAGCCCTATCCCAGCACTCATTGGGGTGAAGGGAGGAAACACCCTGGACAGGCCGCCAGTCCATCACAGCGCAGACACATCAACATATCACACCTAGGGGCAATTTAGTCCCAATCCCCTTTCACCCCTCGCCCCTACCACTTAGCCCCTAACCCTCTGTTTTGCGTGTTCATGTCTGGGGGTAGGGTGTCCTGATTCTTGTTGAGATAGAGGTGTAGGGTGAAGTGTTGGGGCTACATGACCCTCCAAACAGAGGTTTTTTAGAGACTCCAAACAGAGAGTTATGAGGAAAAACCGGCAAGATGGAGAACAAGAGACCAGAGAAACCCACAAATGTGAGAATTTTCTCAGTTAAAATTACAATAAATAGTGTTTTATCTTAGTTTAATGCTGTTTCAGTGTATTATGGTCCTTTTCTTCATAACAAGCATTAGAAATCGCTAAAGTATGCTAATGTCTCGGTAGCTAGCTAGCTAACTTTCCCATTCCACCTTAAATAGTCCAGCAGTTCTGACGCCTGAAGCGCCAGAACTGCTGCTCCATTTAAGGTGGAACGGGAAAATTTAAACAAGAAGCTGGTGAATATCTGACTTCAGCTTCATATCACTGAAGAATTAGGGGTGGGTGATAATAAATAATTGCCCCCCTCTTTGAAGGCATATAGTGCCCTAAATGTAACTAAAGCCCAGCAGTGAGGAGCTGAACTTTACCCTCCTCTGCTGTCACTGCAGACTGGCAGGGTCGCCTACAGAGCAGCGCTGGTAGCTGTTAATGAAGTGATGCTCTTTTATTTGAGGCATTTCAGAGGGAAGATTTCAACCACTACCCCTTATAACTCAGTTCCACAGGGGCAAGGAGACACTCGAAAACAAGGGGCAGGGGCTAAAAAGAAGAAATGGGATTGAGCTTTAGTATCTCCAGTTGACCTGACTGTATGTCTTTTCTCTAATATATACACAAAATGTGCCATAACTTTCACACAGGCCACACTTTGTTTTATTTTTCTCCAATATGCTAAAATTCAGCAAATATACAGAAATTGTTTTCTCTGGAGTTAAGTGAAAGTGAAGAGAAAGTGTGTTCTCTCTGGAGTTATCTCCGCTTAGAAAATTAACAAACTACTGTCTGAACAGGGATGCCAAAACTTTTGCACACAACTGTATTTTTTTTTTTATAGCTTTTACAAATAGTTTGATGTATGTAAACTTTGTCAAAATCTCAAAACGTACCAGTTCATATAAGAAAAACCAAGCTGAATTTTGCATAAACTGCTTTTGTGAGGTCACACAAACCAACTCACTAACATTGTAGCCCCGCCGACTCACACTGAAGTTGTAAGGAGTGTTTCAGCCTGGAGAGACTTTTGAATGAGGGCAGCAAATCTGACCAGGGCTCATTTACACATACCAGTCTTAAGGGCAGAGCAACATAAACAGCTGTTTATTTCTAAGCATTAAAGAGAGGTTAAAAAATGATCATGTAAAAATGAATTTCAATTGTTTTTGGTACATAAAACAACAAAAACATCATCGGTGGACCTCGGGAGAAACATGCGGGAGAAAAATGTGGGATATGGGCCCTTTAAAATGGCTCCCACTGATCTGAGAGTCAGCTGTAATAAAGCAGAAGCTTCATTAAATAGTTTCTAAGTCACAGAAGTCACACTGAAGAGTGCTTCGTCATCTCGCCACAAGAGGGCAGCAGCAGTCCAGACCAAGCGCAGACACAGTAACAGAAATGAGTCGTTTACTCAGCCAGGCTCAGTTTAACACCTTTGAACCGCAGACTTATTATTGAGTTATCAGTGTGTATTATTCAGTAACTAGAGTACCAAAATACTTATATGATACCAAGATAATTACTTCAATACTAATGAGCTCTGAAAGGTTCAACACTCAGTGTCAGTAAACAGGCTTCCTCCAAATCCTAACCCGGTAAATCTCTCTACACTAAGCTGGAAGCAGGTTATTGATACAGTGCTACAAACTCTACATGGTGCTCGTTTGATCACACTGCAGTCTGTTAACATAAGACTTTTAACTCATTTTTTAAACGAAGGTTTTAAAAAAAGTATTAACATTATCAATTTCGTTTACAGTATCCAGGCCCCGTCTGAAAGTACTATTACTTTTCTTGAACCTACCATGAATTATTCAGGAACTACGTTCAATTGTTCAGTAACAACTATGAACTATTCAATAACTACTACACAACTTTCAGAACCCACTATGAATTATTTAGTAATCCACTATGAATTATTCAATAACTGATATGAACTATTCAGACCTCACTGCATTAATCAGAATAGCCACTGAGTTATTCAGTAACTGCTACATATTATTTAGTAACCATTATGAATTATGCAATATCTACTATGACTATTCAGAACCCACTATGAATTATTCAAAAACTGCTATGAACTGTTCAGACCTCACTATGAATTCATCAAAACAACTACAGAGTTCTTCAGTTATTAAGATTTAGTAACTACTAAGACTTTAGTAACTACTATACATTATTCAGTAACTACTATTTTTAGCAACCACTAAGCATTAATCAGTAACCACTATGATTTAGAACCTACTACAAATTCTGTATCCACTATGAATTATTCAATATCTACTATGAATTATTAACTACTGAGTTACTCAATATCTACTACAAATCACTCAGAATCTACTATAAATTATAGAACATCCACTATGAATTTTCAGTCACCACTGAGTTATTCAGTAACTACTACAAAACTAAAGTGCAGGTTCTGTAGTGGTGCGAGTTGAAGAACTGAAGTACAGGCCTGTAAACTGACCCTCACGAGGGGTCAATGCAGAAAACCTCTGAATCGCCCACAGTAATGTTATACCTCTCAATGTGTGCCATCCACTCTCAGACCACCAGTTCGTTTCCCGAACCCCCACCCCAAACACAAGCTCTCAGCACAGCGCCAACTGCACTGCTTTCGCTCGGCCAGAATAAAGAGGACAAACGTTTAACTTATACAAGCTTATTTTAATGGATCTGCAAAACTGTTTGAATTTCCAAAGAGAACTACAACCCCTCCCCCCCAGAACTGAGCATGAGCAGTGAGCAGCCGCTTTCGCTGCGCACTAACTTACAAAATAAGTCCAAAACCAAAGAAAAATGGCATGCAGGACCGGGGAAAGAGAGATAGAGAGAACGGGAAGGGGTGCGGCAAAACAACAAAACAAAAAAACGTCGTGAATGTGAAATAAATCATGGTAAAAGAAAAAATACTACATATAAATGCCATTCTCTTCGGTTCAAACGCGTCTGTACTGGAGAGTCGGGAGCTCCTCTGTGAGTTCGTGGTGGTGGGGGGGGCAGGTGTAATAGTTAATGAGGTGATTTTTGGGAGTGTGTGCGTGTTGCGAGGTGTCGGGGCTCGGGGTGAACGGGAGTTTAGGCCTTTCGGCTCCACGTTAAGGCACCGGACGAAAGAAAGAAAGAAAAAAAAACTAAAAAAAAAAAAGAACCCCAGATAGACAAAGCTCACTAACCATAGAGCTACACACAAAATATCCCAACCACCAACCCAGAGACTGTACAAAAAAAAAATTAATAATAATAATAATAATAATAAACAACAACGGGCTCAAATGTTCATGCCTGTTTGGGTTAGTCAGCTAGTTTCACCTTCACACCGACGGAACAGAGTCTTAAAAAGGTCCAGCGGGCGCTTTCGACCCCCATTCGTTTAGATTTCATCGTTTCCTTTATTTTAAAAATGTAGTGGTGAAGTGTTTTCTTTCCTTTCTTATTTCAAACCTTTAAAATAAATGACAAGAAACATGACATGATTTCTCTTTTTATCTATACATTTCTTTTTTTTGTCAGAAATAAAAATTATATCGTCAGCAAGCAGATGTGAGTGGAAGAACAAGAGAAGAGAGTTAGAAAGGGAGAGAGGGACGGTGAGACTGCAGTGACGGAAGGAAGAGTTAGACACAAAGTGGGAAGAGATGAGCGGGTGAGAGAGACAGAGAGAGAAAGAGAGAGAGAGGTTTTGTATAAGTGGGCATGTGTGTGCATTTGTGAGTGAGTGTGAGAGAGAGAGAGAGAGAGAGAGAGAGAGAGACACACAGACAGACACTGTTCAACTGCAACACTTGGTTTTCCATCCCGTGACTCCGCCTCCGGTGCTAATGTCGACGTTTTCACTGTTGGGCTCTTTTACAGGTGTCTGAAAAACAAACAGAAACACGCAATTTCAGGATTGCAGCAGCTTAAACAACACGTGTAAATATCATTGACAGTTTCACAGCTTTTTGTCAGAACCATAAACATCGTCAGCCGTCATACAGTGAAAACTGACCATCCAGAATATTAAACTGCTTTCTTTACGTTACTTTTTCTTTAAGATGTTTTGGTTCTACCGTGTTACAAATTCCAAAAAATGACAAATATGTCAGAGAGACATTTAAGTGTAGAATACATGCTTAGCCTGTATAGAAACACAATGCATACTAACACACCTATGGTCCATAAATACGTTTAAGTGTATACAGTATCTATGAGAGTATATATGTATCAAAAGTTCTAACTAACTAAATATTTTGCCTCAATTTTCTCCCCAATTTAGTCACCTCAAATTCCACCCACTAATTAGGAGTCCCCCAGTCACACGATGCAACCAGTGCTAGGATGGTGAAGACTGGCACAGGCTTCCTCCGAGACCTGTGAAGCGCCATTGCATCTTTTCAAACAGCCGCTCACGCAACATCATTGGACAGCCAAACGCGCTCGGGGGGAAAACGGCAACCGCCAGATCTGTTATGCCAGCTAACAGACGCCTGCACTGACTAGCATCACGCTGAGTGGTAGGGGAGGGAGACAAGGGGGGGCCATCCTACCCACCCAGAGAGCGGAGCCTAGACTCCCGGCCACGGACGGCAGTAGCACCACCAGGGATCGAACTTGCGATCTCCTGATGACGGTGCCAATGGTTGCGCCACTCAGCAGCCCCATATGTAACGTTTTAAAACACTTCATTCCTTGTAATGACCTGCATTCCTGAAACGCTAAACAAAGCTTGGTAAATTTAGACTATGTTGCAGTAAGAATGTTGCTGCGCTTCAGAACCAGCATGCATTACGATGGACATCAGCTGGTAAACCAGTAATTATAACTTTATTATATATATAACAATCATTAACATCTGATTCATCGACATGTACGGCTGCTTTTAGAATAAAACAGAGTAAGAACGTGTAATATAGACCTGGACCACGCTTTGGCTCTGAAAGGGTTAAATGCTCGGGCACTGTGAGGTGACATTGGCTAATGACTGAACACAAGAAGCACTCATAAGTCTGTATCTCACCACCTCAAATAGATTCTATAGACTTTACTGCACGTCCACTTGCAACTTCTCACTGCTTCCTATTCATTTCAATGGCGAGCTCTGCTGTACTGCTGTATGATAAACTGCACCGCTAAACGTTAATATTTTACCGCTGCTGTGATTCCAGTTTCAGGTCTTAACGTTTGGGCCAAAAGTGTTTCAGTCTGTGTTTTTAAGTAGAGGTTGGCAAATATTTATATGAAATATTATTATTTAATAATATATAAAGTGTGAAACGTCAAACAGAAATCTAAAACTCAAGTGTACCGAGAGTTTTTCATAGCAGTTTGTATGTGTAACACTATTAGTGCATTGTGTCTGTGTCAAAATATCATGAGTTACGTCCATCAAGTATCACGATATTTTTGACACACTTTCTTTAAACAACAGTTTGGAAAAGGACACTGTCCTTAGGCAAAGGATGCTCTTCACACCAAAGATTAACATAAGCCAACATCTGCTTTATACTAAGCAAACATTTCTGGGTGTCTTTTTTTTGCTCTACTGAAAATCAAATTTCCAAAAGGGCAGCGAGTTTCATTTCACATGCTGATACCTTTTTGAGGATGTCTTCTGCTAACGTGAGGAACGCCTTCTCGATGTTGATGTTGGCTTTCGCGCTCGTCTCAAAGAAGCGGATTCCGTGTTCTCTGGCAATCTGAGCACAAGAAAAGAGAGAAGACGACAATTAAAGTGTTTTTGTGTGATGGGGGGGCAGAGGGGGCACCACAGATTTCAAAATAACACACTAACACACACACACACACACACACACACACACACACACACACTACTCAGTTACATGTTTATGGGCAAGCAAGAAATCACACAGTGTGTCTGGTGTAAAGTGGTCAGTGTTGCACAACATGCAAAGCCAAGTAAACAGCCTTCAAATAGACCAGGGGCTCCCAGCTTTGCTCCTGGAGGCCCACTGACCCACACATTTCAGTCCCTCCCTGCTCTCAACACAACTCTAATACAACTCAGTGGCTCATTAACAACCCCTGACTGAGCTGGCGCTGCAGGGAAAACGCTAAAATGTGCAGCACGGTGGGCCTCCAGGACCAGGACTGGGAACCACTGCAATAGAGCCCAAACAATATAATCAGATGGCCAGTAATGCTGGCCAATACTGAAGGGTGACAGTTTTACTGGTATCGGTCAACATATGGGTGATAATGCACTGATAAAAGCGTCACATCATCTCAGGGATTCAAATATGTGATCACCAGACAAGTGGGTGAAACCTCAGACCAGTGGTCACCACACCTGGAGATCTACCTTCCTGCAGACTTTTGCTTCAGTCCTAATTAACCCCACCTGATCCTTGATTAGCTGAACGAGGTGTTTAGAGGTGAAGATGTCCAGGAGGAGGGTTGGTGACCACTGCTGTAGACAGTTGGGGAGCTCAGTGGAAGCCACTCCATTGAACAACACACTTAAGCATCATGGTTCAAGGGTCCTTTAGTACCAAAAATGTTTCTATACAGAACCCAAAAGGGTTCTTCTATTCTTAGAAGCTTGACATCGTAACAGCAGAAGAACTGACAGACAAGAGGCTTCTGAATAACAGAAACACACCCACTAACATGTACACTCTTAAAAAAAGATGGTTCTTCAAGGGACCTTTAGTAAAGAAAATGGTTATGTATAGAACCATGAACACTCAAAGAACCCACTGCATGATTAAAGGGTTCTTTGCATTGTGAAAGAGTTCTTCAGATTGATGGAGATTGTGCTGTAGATGGTTCTATATAGAACATCTTTTATGTTGAGCTTGTTACAGTAGAGGAAGCCTGTTTGGTGCTATTTAGAAGCCTTCTAAAAAAGGTTCTATACAGAACCATCTACAGCTCATTCGCCATCAATCTGAAGAACACTTTCATGATGCAAAGATCATGCAACAAGTTTTTTTTTGAGTGTTCAGGGTTCAATTTAGAACCATTTTCTTTAGTAAAGAACCTTTGAAGAACCATCTTTTTTAAGAGTGTATGACAGTAATAGAGACTGAATTGGTACATTTGAACCCAAAACACCTTCTTGGGGAAAAGAAACAAAAACAAAAATGTGTACTTTGCATCCGAACCTGACCATAGGCTTAAATGTGAAAAGAAGAACAAAATATAATAATTTTAATAGAAACCAAAACCGCAAAAAATGCATGTATGAATATGTTAAGTGGTAAAGAACGCTGGGGAACATGCAAAAGAAACAAAGAGTTTTCCAGTACATGAGATCTGCTGTTCAGTAGAGAAGTACAGTAGAGTAAAATGGTGAGCTTGTCCAGAAGATGGGCCAACATGCGAGTTGTCCAACATTTTAGCTTCCAAACAGACGAACACGGAGAAGCACTAGATGTTAACAGTGTTAGATGCCATCTGTGCATCATTATAAATCAGTCACTCTAAAAGCTAGTCTAGACACACACACACACACACACACACACACACACACACACACACACACACACGGTGGTACTTGTAACTGAATTTGGATCATGATATCATAATTTTTATTGCAGACAACAATCGTTTGCCTAAATTTACATTATCGTCTGATGTTACCAGCGATCAGAAGATATTGGTACTGATCATACAGTTTTCATGTCAGTCAAGTCCATCACACACACATAACGGCCACAGTAGAAGGTACCATCTCACCTGTTCTCCTTTAGTCTTTGGTACGACCCGTTTGTCCTCCATATCACACTTGTTGCCTAGCAGCATTCTCTCCACGTCCTCGTTGGCATGCTGCAAACCACACAACAGTAAATACATGACAATGACGAATTAAACAGCGACTCAAATCTCATTACACGTAGTTTAGATCTGCCTGTTTTATCTGACTTTTTACAAACTTCTTTCAGAAGACCCCAATGGAAATAAGCCCTGGGGAGCTAAGGTGGGCTGCATTTCTCGGCCAGTACGTCATAGAAGGCTGGTCCAAAGTGAAGAACCCTTCAAATACAGCCTAGAAATGCAGCCTACGTTCTGAGTGCTTTCGAGGACGCAACTGATGTGTCCGTCCAGGCCTTCGGTTACCCACAGTTCTCTGTGCGAATGGCGCAAAGGAATTCAATAATAATAATAAAAAAATATGCCATTAAAATGGTGGATCTTCTTTTAAAATGTAAGTTGTTCACATCCTTGAATTTGTCTTCGTTACCTTATACAGTGTAAAATCACTGATTAATTAAAGACTTTGTCCGTATATCATATTTTAATCAGAAGTATTTGTATATATGTACTTTATCATACTACATAAGCTTGTTGGTATATTAGCTACCATAGCAACAAACACAAAGCAACAGGCTCTATTTTCTCTCACCAGATCCCTCTCAAGTTTCTTACTGCAATTTCAAGAGGCGGACATTTCTGGTGACGTCACCATGCAGCCTCGTTAGGACTGTTCCATCTGTGTGACCAGTGACAGTCCTACCGAGGACCCGCCCTACCGAGGCTGCAGCCGAGGCTTGTCAGCGTCAAACGTATTTCTGTATAACTATTAATCGACCTAAATCACTACAACACTGTAAATCAGGTCATTCAAAGGGGAATTCCAGATATTTTTCAAATTTTCTGCCTAATTAACTGGTTAAGACCTAAACAATGTCATTCAGAGTGGTTTGATGTGAAATGCTCCACCAGATATGGGACATCTGAAGACTCTAATGCCTCTAAAAGGCTCCCTCACAGGAAGTTATTACATGAAATGGTTATGAATTCACTGCCTGATGCCTGAGACACTGTTTTACTACAATTCTGATGGACAATTTTGGCCTAAAATGTTTGTTTTGCCCCCATGGTGAGGTATATGTTGTGAGGTAAAACAGTGTCATTACCATAATCAACGTTACATATAAGAGCGCAGAAGACTCGTGTAGGTTCACTGGTGGTTTTGGATAGTAAATAAAATGTCTATATTTGTGTTGTAGTCATGGTGACTCCTGGTTCCTATCAGCACCACTGTAAAGAAATCTGAGTCAGTAAGTTTCCCTACAATGAACCATTTCACACCAAACAACTCTGAACGACTGAATTACGCAGACGTTCTGAAGATAAATATTCCCACGAAACTGAAAAATGTCACTTGTCAGGTTTCTGTATTTCTCCAGATCTTATCAAGCTTAGAATCCTCACCAAAAACAGTGATCAGCACCTTTGAGTTGGCATTTATGTAAATGCTCTGCAGCATTTTGACGTCGTCAAACATGGACTATATAAATAAGAGAATCTGAGCTTTGTTAGCAACTTCAAATGAGGAAAAGCAGTCAAGAGTAAACAGATGTTGTTTGCATTCGCTGCATTCTTTTGGAGGACGCTTTCAGGAGATTTATTTTGTCAGGGTGGGACAGCAGGCCCACATCCAGGGAAACTGATGGAACTTGATAAAAACAAGAGCTGAAACAAGTAAAGAATGACTCCAATGTGAACTGAAATAAAGGGTCATTATTTCAATACAGTATCACAAAATATCTGAAAGCAGAATATTTAAATCTGTATAGACGATGCACATTTCTGAGCATCTCGTGTTTAGTCTCCCACGGAAGCCGCTGTCTATGATCAAACGAAGCGCATCATGACTATTTTTGCATCGTTTATAGCTCAGTTGCACGATTTTATTACATTACTGTTTGGCACAAGCACACTTTACAATCTTTGGCCTTAAAATAAAATTTGTATCTACCTGAGCCAAACCAGACAGAGCAGTATGTAATCAGAGCTCTATAGAAACATTATAATATTGAAATTTTAATCTCTAAGCATCAGAAACTGATGATACCGAAGAAACGAAATGTGCATCATCACAGCCCTAACAGACAAAGTTTATCGATATGACTCTTCTTTTTTATTGTCCACATTCTGTTTAAAACCAAACCGCTTTATAATGTTTCATACTGTTTACATGATGCAGTCATTCTGACTCAGGGATGTTTATTCTGGCAAATTCTTTTCGCTGATTGTTAACATGCAAGCCTAAAATCATAGATGTGACTCATTAAAATATCATTTACAAATAAGACGGTTCCCATTTTGAAATCAGGCTGAGCTCCGTTCGAAGCCACCATGAAACACTTGATGTATGCACACGCTTATGCACACAGACTTAACTGAATTCTGTATTAAGGCACAGACGTATCAGATAGAGTTCCTTGGCTTGCAGAGCCAAGTACTGAAAGATGGGGCCAGGCATCAGTGCATCCCAGGGTTTCAGTCACGTGAGTTTTCTGTTGTGGCCTCCATATTTAGGACCGAATTTCTGGCTTTGCTGCTCCGCAAGAACGTAACTAGAGGTGAAAGACAGCTAAAATTACTCTCCTTACTTTGGAAGAGAAAAAACGTTCCTCGACGAAGTCGATAAAACAGTCTGTGATCCTTATACAGTTTCCTCCTGAACTCCTGGTCCCACTTAAACTGGCGGAAAAGCAGCCAAATTTGTTTTCCTGACATTTATATTGATCTCATACTCAGCCCCTCTCTATTCTGGAGTCTCTCAAAGCATTTAAAAGCACAGAACCCACCGGCTCTTCACGTCAGGGTGGGTAAAGGATCCCATGGTGTTTCATAAAGGGGATAAACTCTGTCATCATATGAGGAACGACATCAGCTAATTAACACAGACGTGATCAACGCTGGCCTTTAGAGAACTTTAGCTGATGTTATCAGCCGAGAGATAAACAGTCGTCCCCCTAACGGAGCTGCAGACAGCCGGCATAACTTTACTCTCTGTTTCTGATTTAAATGATGTTTGAATGGAGAAACATAAGCGTTAAATATCAGACTGAACGTCGTGGGTCGGAAAACGACGTCGTGTTTCGACAGACGTGATCCTGTAAGTTTGCTAGTGCAGTTAGTTCAGAGTTCAGCTCCAGTCCTGAAACCCCTGCACTGCATAACTGTGGTTTCCTCGTTAAAATACCTGATATTATTAGCTGATTAATCCCTTCTTAAGGTGAACGAGGTGAACAGCAGAGAGAAACACTGAACTATATAGTGCAGCGGCTCCAAGCCTGGAGTGAAAACACTGAATTAAAGGTCTTGTCATTCTCGGCTTCTGTCACGTCTTGCAGGTCAATGATTCATCGTTCAACTGCCTGTTGCACCTCAATTCGTACAATTCAAAAACGTTCCTCCCTACATTTCCTAGCTCCTGTGCTCTCTTTGGATGCGGAGAAAGCCTTTGATAGGCTTGAGTGGAGTTATATGTGGGCAGTCCTTGAATGTTTGGGGTTTGGTACGACGTTTATTTCAATGCTGCGAACACTGTATTATTCTCCTGCAGCATCAATATTAACCAACAATGCAATAGCCCCTGCATTTCAGTTTGAGCACGGAACCAGACAAGGTTGTCCAATTTCTCCCCACTTATTCTGTCTGTCCTTAGAACCTTTAGCACACGCTATTTGACAATCCTCAATATATCCTATCAAAATTCAAGGTCACAGCAACTTTATTTCACCTTATGCCGATGACATTGTTTTTGTTTTTAGACAACGTGGATCTCTCCATTCAACCTGTAATGAAGGAATCTGATGTTTTCAATAGCATCTCAGGGTTTAAGATCAACTGGTCTAAATCAGTTTTAATGCCGCTAAATAAACTTTGCAAAACCATTTCTATCCCAGTAATTCCAGTTAAGGATTCATTCATGCACCTTGGCATTAATATTTATCCTGATATCTATAAATCAGCCAGATCTATAAATGCTACCACTTCCACCTTTCCCCAAAATATTCCGCTGACATTGATTCGATGGTTTCAATATTCCATATAAATAATTTTAAAAGGAATTATATGCAACATGGAAATAAGAGCACTGCAGTCTTGGCTTAACATAGAATCCAAAATCCCACGGAGGACTACTGAATCTATTCTAGTAAGGCCAAAATGATTACAAGATTTGTTTTTTTCCACAAGCACAGGCTCTAAAAATCTTGATTTGAAATTCGGCTGTATTGTTGCACGTTCTCTCAAGGTCTGGACCCGTACAGAAAGACTCATGGGAGGCCCTTTCAAAATCTGTCACTCTAATTACAACCTCTTAAGAGGTGCACAACCTTTTACTCAACCCTCCAGGTTTTCTAGGGGTGTTAATGATTGTGGGGATTACATTCTCTCTGCCAGCTTCTACTTATTTTGTGTACTTGCAATTAAGATCAGTGCTTAAAGCCTACGGGGTTCCATGGGGCCTTCCTGTAGCTGCTCATCCCATGGTGGATTGGATCCAACCATATATGCCCTGCAATGGATGTTTAGGCGAACATTTACATCCCTTTTTCTGACAGACCAGTATCATCTAAACATATAGCATCTAGTGAGAACCCAAGGAAAGACTAACATCACTACTAAAAATGAACACACTGTATATTACATAATATTCACTTCTTTTTTGGGGGGATTCCCAATCTTCTCTCTGAGGACTCCCAATCACACCACACCACCAGCACTAGTGTAAAGGGAAGAGAGGCTTCCTCTGAGACCCGCGAAGCGCCACCGCATCTATTCGAACTGCCGCTCACGCAACGTCATTGGACAGCCGAACGCGCTCGGAGGAAAGAGCCAATCGCCAGATCTGTCCAGTGTTAGCTGGTTAGAGACTCACCTCGTCGATATTCCGGAGCCACTTGCTGATGTTCTCGAAACTCTTGGCGTTGCTGATGTCGTACACAAGCATGATGCCCATGGCTCCTCTGTAGTAGGAGGTGGTGATGGTGTGGAACCGCTCCTGCCCCGCTGTGTCCCTAAACAAGCAAAGACACAATAATAACATTAACTATGGAGCAGCCATCACTGACGCATCAAAGAGTATATAAGAAAACTCTATAACTTCAGAAACCAAAGTAAAGGACAAGTCAAAAAGCCTAAATACACTGACTTGTATGCTCCAACAGAAGCGCACAAGCAGCCAATACTCACCATATCTGTAGTTTTATCTTCTTTCCTTGCAATTCAACTGTTTTGATCTTAAAATCGATTCCTAGAGAGAAAGAAAAGTGAACTGATTAAGTTGATGCACAATTGAGTAACCCAACACAATCTTATCTACAAGTTGACAATAACCTGATCTAAAAGGCCCATTTCTGACATTTTAGTAGTTTTTTTCCCCCTGAAGATCTATTTATAAGTTTTGTTAGGTTTATGTACCAAACGTAGACAAAATTCATTTTTATATGACCATTTTTCAACCTCGCTTTATCCCCTTAGAATTAAACCGGGTGTTTCTGTTACTGTGCCTTTAAGACAGCCTCTGTTCTGACTGCCCTGCACTGTCTCCTCAGTTTGGGCTGAAACACTTCTTATAACTTCAGTGTGAGTGGGAGAGGCTAAACCGCTGTAAGATGAAAAGATGGATATACGTAAAATCTGTTTTTGTGACATCACAAAACAACTAATTCAAACAGGCTTTGTATGCAGCTTAGGCTGCGTCCAAAACCGCATACCACCATACTAAACAGTATGTCAAAAATAATACACCACCAATAAAAAGTCCACTCTATTAGTGTAGTATGTGGTTTTGGACGCAGCTTTAGTTTCTGTACATGGACTGTACGGAGTGGGGAGTGAAAGGTACATTCCTAAACTTTAACAGTGCTTACAAACTATGCAAAATAGATACGCGTCTGATGCAGTACGGGCCCGTCAAATGAAACTGAAAACATTTCATCACTAGTATATCCCCATCGACAAAACTGTATGAGAACAATAATGGAACTGTGTATACAGGACACTGCATACTTGATTTGGTATATTGGGGATAAAGTCAGAAGGACATTGGTAACCAAGTCCGGGCAATATGGAGATATTTATTTTTATCTCAATCATTTACGTCACAAGATGCCTTTCTTTATACTATTACTTTATACTATTTTTACTATATATATATATATATATATATATATATAAAAAATGTTTTATCAGCTCCACTTACTATATAGGAGCACTTTGTAGTTCTACAGTTACAGACTGTAGTCCATCTGTTTCTCTGCATACTTTGTTAGCCCCCTTTTACCCTGTTCTTCAGTGGTCAGGACCCCCATGGACCCTCACAGACCAGGTACTATTTGGGTGGTGGATCATTCTCAGCACTGCAGTAACACTGACGTGGTGGTGGTGTGTTAGTGTGTGTTGTGCTGGTACGAGTGGATCAGACACAGCAGTGCTGCTGGAGTTTTACAAAGTGCACCTATATAGTAAGTGGAGCTGATAAAATGGACAATGAGCGTAGAAAAAAAGGGGGTGGTCATAATATACAACTACACACACACACACACACACACACACACACACACACATATATATATATATATATATATATATATGACCAATGCCATCAAAATAAATTAATGCAGCATCAGGTCAAAAGCACTGATTAGACGTATAAGATACTTCAGAATCAAGATGCTCACAGACCATGAAAACACTATAACAACATCTTTATACTCACTGCTGTGATATTTCGCCTTAATGGGCCAAGAAGCTACGTGACCAGACTACAGAAGCAAAAACACGAAATGTGACGCTGCAAATGTTCCATCTACACACACACACACACACACACACACACTTATGAAACCCGAGACCAAAACAGCCTCAACCTTCAGAGAGAATTTCCAGAAGATCTGACCCTCTGCAGTCAAATCAAGCTCTTCAAATCACAAATTACAACAAACCAGCACTAACTGTGCAGCTCTGCCTTCAGCCAAGAACCGCTGTCAAATTCCTTTACATAATAAAGAGGGATGTTGATTCCGAAATCTGATTGGCTGAGCCACCTTTGATGCTTTCGGAAAATACTTGATATACACACACAACCACACATCTATATTCTGTATTAATGCGGTAACATATTTAAAAGTTCGTTGTGCTGTTCATGGAATAATCTTTGAATATTGTTTTGTTTGGCAACCACAACCTCCTGTTAAACTGTACTGTGTACTAAAAGACAGGCTGTTCTTGTTACTGCGCCGTTCAGCCTGACATATGTAAATGACCACTGTTCTGATTGGCCGTGCCTCATTCAAAAGCAAGTCCGAGCTGAAACACTCCTTATAACGTCAGCGTGAATGGGCGGAGCCAAGGGGCTGTGGGCTGAATGTTGATATTGATTCACCAAGACTGGGACTCATTTTCTCAAGGAATATGATGTCAGGAATGATAATCCTTGTACACAATAACTCAGGAGGAATGGGCAAATCATATGAAATATGTGGTTATCTATAGCTTTATTCAAAAGGTATGAATGCACTGATGCCAGTGGCAATAACTGACAACAGTTAGTTGTGCTTATATCACAGCAAGGCATGTAAAATAATTGACAGCAATGATAATTTAAAAATAAATAAATAAATAAAAAACAAGAACAAATATTTTTATTGCTTTATTATTTAATTAAGTACATGCAAAAGCAAAATGGGTAACCAAAAAAGGCTGGGAAATTACGATATTTATCGTTTTAATGATAAACTAAACCATCACAACACATAATATGCTTTTTTTGAGTATATCCTGAATATCATCCGTAGGAGGACACTAAATAAGTTTCTTTAAAACAAGAGCATCATTAGGGTGTTGAATAAAACTCATTCTAATAGTTTTCGATTGGATTTTTCATTTCCTGAAGCATCGCAACATCAGCCACCTCTAGTCACCAAGTTATCGGATGTAATTTCGGACTTAATTAAATTTTCCCACTTATCGGTCACTGATATATGATATATCAAAAGGATGTTTACTTGTTTGCCTCTCAGAAGCGTCAGCAGTGGCGCAGTTTGCCTCGGCCCCGGCCGAACCCCCTGCCGATGGGCAGTATGGAAACTGCCTGGCAGAGTGTGTGGCACAGACTGGCACTCGCTGGCATCGGGCTCAAAGAGGCCCATCTCAATCTGTCCAACGGCCGAAGATTTAACAGCTCACACAGTGACATTGTTCAGAAGAGGGGCAGCGAGCGAGGCTGAGACGGAGAGATTGTGAAAGCAGTGAATGATGTCTAGGAAACTGATCATGTGGATGGCAAAGAGGCAGCAAAGCTCAAAAACTCCCAGAGCTCCCACTCGGAACGTTTGGCACCGGACAACATGATTGAGTTTAGTGGAGAAAGGGCTCCAATTCTGGTCATCGGCTACTCCTGTTAACATGGAGCAAAAGCTTACACTGTGGGCAATACAGCAACGACACAATGAGGTACTGACTGCAACGGCTTAAAGGGGAAGTCCACCGATTTGTCAAAATTTCCACATAATTAAATGGTTACGATGTAAACGGAGTCATTCAGAGTGGTTTGGTGTGAAACGCTCCGTTCTAGATAAACTCAGAGTCAGAACTGTTCACAGTGGTGGTGATGGGAACCAGACGTCCACCTCTAAAAGCTCCCTCACAAAGTTATTACATGAAATGGTTATGAATATGTTGCCTGGAACACTTTTTTATGGGAGTTTTATAATAAAGTTTTGCCCTTAAACACGTTTTTAAACAGACATTAATGGTGGAGGGGTACATGCAGGGCGCTGTGAGGCAAAATAGTCCAAAAGTAAAATGACTAATTTTTTATTTTGGACCCCCATGGACCCTCACAGAGCAGGTACTATTAGGGTGGTGGATCATTCTCAGCACTGCAGTAGCACTGATGTTGTGGTGGTGTGTTAGTGTGTGTGTTGTGCTGGTCTGAGTGGATCAGACACAGCAGTGCTGCTGGAGTTTTAAACACTGTGTCCACTCACTGTCCACTCTATTGGACACTCCTACCTTGTCGGTCCACCTTGTAGATGTAAGGTCAGAAACGATAGCTCATCTGCTGCTGCACAGTTTGTGTTGGTCATCCTCTAGTCCTTCATCAGTGGTCACAGGACGCTGTTGGCTGGATGTCTTTGGTTGGTGGACTATTCTCAGTCCAGCAGTGACACTGAGGTGTTTAAAAACTCCAGCAGCACTGCTGTGTCTGATCCACTCAGACCAGCACAACACGCACTAACACACCACCACCACGTCAGTGTTACTGCAGTGCTGGGAATGATCCACCACCCAAATGGTACCTGCTCTGTGAGGGTCCATGGGGGTCCTGACCACTGAAGAACAGGGTAAAAGGGGGCTAACAAAGTATGCATAGAAACAGATGGACTAATAAACAAATCAACAAATCTAGTTTTAACTCTGACAGGTTGACTGAAATCCCTTGAGTAGGTTAATGTTGTGAACACACAGGCGTCTCCTCCTCTTCATACAGAGCTACATCACCTGGTGAGAAATCCAGCAACAGTCAAGGCAGCTAATCAAGAATTTTATATTATGTAAAAATGCAACACAAACAGCGACCGCTCTTTCTTCGCAATGTGTGTTTGTCACGTCCGCTGTGAAATAACAGGAGCACCGCATCACATCTGGGGTGAAATGGATGTAACGGTTACCGGAACACCACAATTGGTCAGCATGTACGGCCTGCTGCCAACAAAGGGATATCACAGCACACAAGGCTCCATCAGAGAATACCTTATTAGTGCATTAGTACAAACTGGGCACTGGCTGCATCTAAACATTACTTCCTTCCTTCCTACAGTCCTCTATTCACTAAATAAAACAGCGTCCATCGGCCTAACTACTCCAAACACAGCTCTCACACTAGGGTGATCGATATGTCCATTATTATTGCTACTGTGATCAATTTTATCAAAATATGCTTTTAAGTATCCACCTTATTTTTCAAGATTAGGGCTGCAATTTCTGGTTGCGGGACAGAAGCGTTTGTTGCTGTTTTTAGCGACGTCAGAGAAAGTGTGCTTACTTTTTAATTTATTGTTCTGTCCCACTAAACATCTCTGAGCCATTCTGGGACACGGTGCGGTTTGTGGCCATCAGTACAGCTGAGTGAAGATGAAACTATGGCAAGAACAACAACACAACAACACTACAAGCATAAATAGCACAGAGCTTCAGCAGACATGAGACTGTGGCTTCACAATGACTCAGTGAAAAAGCCCAGTTGTC